TTAGAAACACGGAGGCTGTGGTGGGCATTGTGGTTTACGCAGGTTGGTTCATCTCCTGATCTGTCACCATCGTTTCGGCTGTGCTTATTCTCTAAGCCAACCTTTTTCATTCACCCACCATGTGATCTATGGAAACGGAAAGGAGATGTTGCCTTGGAAACTTAATCATGGATCTCTGTTTTCCAAATCAATCTCAAAAGTCGATGAAACTGACAAATGTATTTTGTGTGCATGTCTTATGAAATTGCCTGCCAGAGAGATTTTTCAATATAGATAGTTGCTCCCTGGCATGTGTTTACACAGTCTCTAACCTTCTGCACTTCTGACTTAGGTCATGAAACCAAAGCAATGCTGAACAACAGCGGGCCACGGTATAAGCGCAGTAAATTAGAGAGAAGAGCAAACACGGACGTCCTCTGGTGTGTCCTGCTTCTGATTATAATGTGCCTGACTGGTGCGCTGGGTAGGTAGAATTTGATGGCCTGCTGGCCTCGCTTCAGCAAGATATTGCTTTGAAAGTAGTATATTTTCAAAATGTAATTTTCGAATGCTTGACTTCTATAAGAGAGCTTCGAAAAAGCTTGTGGAAAACTCAAGCAGCTTTTAATTAGAGTTTTCCATAAGCCCTTTGAACCCCTTGTATAAGAAAGGTTTTCTTTGCCAGTATATACTTTTTCTTTCACACATCTTTCTCTCTCACATCTTTTGGTCTAAAAAACATTAATGTTGCCAAAGTGCCAAAGGAACCTGACCAAACAGCCCACACTCACTTCCATTCAGCCATTTCTGACTCATACCACCCTACAGGCCAGAACGGAACTGCTCCAGGGGGCTCTGGTTCTGTAGGGAGCAGTCTCATCTTTCTCTGAAGAAGCAGCTAGTGGGCTTGCACCGTCGACCTAGGGCTTAGCAGCCTTACACGTGCATAGCACACTAGGGCTCCCAAGGTACTTAGGAAGAGACTGAAAGAAATATCTTGAGTCAGGAGAATATGCAGTCTTGTGAACTTGAATTTACTCATCAAAGCAGACAGTTGGTGTTCATTCAGAATAGATGCTCTAATCTCTCTTTCTTTCAGAATCAAGTTCTATATGTGGGATACATGTAGAGGGTTGTTTTGATGTCTCTCCACTTTTTGAAAGGTCATGGGATCTGGCTGAGCTGGTATAAAGATATACCCTTCTTCAACATCCCTGAGCCGGATGGTCATGTCATCGCCCCCGTGTTGGCAGGATTCTATATGTTTTGGACCATGATCATTTTGTTGCAGGTAACATCTATTGAGCACCTCATAGAATGGGTGCTAACTTAACTCGCTGTATTCAGTTCTTCATCTCTCTTTTTTTTTTTGAAACCCCTTTAATTTTTCTTTGATTCTTCTTAGGTCCTGATTCCCATCTCCCTCTATGTTTCCATTGAAATTGTTAAGCTTGGCCAAATATATTTTATTCAGAGTGACGTGGATTTCTACAATGAGAAAACTGACTCTACTGTTCAATGCCGGGCCCTGAATATCACGGAGGACCTTGGTCAGATTCAGTACCTCTTCTCTGATAAGACAGGGACTCTCACCGAGAATAAGATGGTTTTTCGGAGATGTAGCGTGGCAGGCTTTGATTACTGCCATGAAGAAAATGGTGAGTGTTACATTTAATTTTTAGTACTTATACGCTATTGTTATGGAGCCTGAAGTTGGCTGTGAACCACAAGGTCAGCATTTCAAAACCAGCCCCGCCTGGGGAGAAAGATGGGGCTTGATACTCCTGTAAACATTCAGTCTCAGGAATGCAAAGAGACGATTCTACCCTGTCTTCTAGGGCCACTCTGGCATCCACTAGATAGCAGTGCGTTCTTACATTCTATGTTAAGAATGTGCCCTAAGTGATGCAGCTACTGTAACTATATCTTAGATTGTTTCCAATGTCCTGCTGCTGTAACAGTGTGGCAGTGAGCATCCTTTTAGCCATATCTCGGTGTGAGGTTTATGGTTAGTACTTTATAAACTTTATTGACCATGGAACTCTGCTGTCAAAAATCATCTTGCAACAGCAATGTTTCATAAACTTCGCGATACATTGATTTTTACACAGAGAGTGTTTGTCACGTTTACAATTTGGCATTTGTAACATTTGAGAGGGCTAGTACAAGACCTTGGACTCTCTGCCTACCGATTCCCGGAGAGCACACACCCTGCCCAACAAGGAGTTCCTTGCTGTGACCTCTTGGACGGAGAAACTATTAAGTGACTAAGAATCAAACGCACTAAATGACAGCACTGTGATCGCTAGTCATTTTTTATGAGCCAGGGGATAGGGTGCTCCTTCTAGAAGTTGCTAGCTTTGCCTGTGAACACTTCTGGACTCTTCTCTGAAGTGGCTGAAAAGAAGCAGATGTACACACACACACACACACACACACACACACACACACAGAATAGGAAGAGTGTAAATCATGTGAGCCAGTTCTCTCTGGAGCTTAATTCTGACACACATTATCATCTCTGCAATGAGACTTATTTAACAGGGTCTCAGATTTCATTGGCCAGTCTTTTCAGGAATTTCTAGCAAAAGCATCTAGGATATCTCTCTGTAAACACTGCGGCTGTGAAATAAGTCCATGCACCTTTGCAGCGGCACCGAACACATCTGACAGCACCCTTCCCTACCTTGCGACCTAGAAGTCTGCTCCTCCCTTGACAGCAGCCTGAGCAACATCTGGGAGTGGATTTGAGATGCAGAATCGCACCCGTTTCCAAACCTGCTTCACTCTGCATATTAACCAGATCCCCCAGGTGGTTTACAGTGAATGTCAA